ATTAAGGCTATAATGTTCCGAGGCCAATCTATATTGGGTAGTGGTGGAAGTGGAGCATGGTAAATCGAGATCTAGTTCGTAATACCCCCCCCCCCCCCCCCCCCAAATTTTAAGAATAAATATAGATAGCTTTTAGATTTGAGAAGAATCTTACTTTTTGTTTGATTTAGAAGAACTAAATTTAATCTATTCTTGTCCCTATGAAACAACATGGCTTTGGGGAAGAAAGCCACACAGGCACGCAAAAAACGAGGGACTGGTTGATCGGGAATCCGACAGAATTCAAAAGAAGTATGGAGAATTTGGTGAGCCCAGATCATGTTGAGAAGAAAAGAGAAGTTGGCCTGAATTTTTTTCGGCAGAAGCTGTACATTTCCGCTAGAAGAATGTGAGTTTGTTTTTCGGGATGACTCCACGCGCTTGAATAATGTAAGAAACACTTTCTTTGCCATGTCAGCATATTGTGATTAAATGACACAGTAAAGACCTCGTTAAAGTGTTCAAATGAAACAAACTTGAGATGAAGTGTCTAAGTGAAAAGTGAGGACAACTTTAAGAGGTTGTGGATGTATTCTGCCACCAAAATAGATAGTAGTATATGATACATGCATTGCGCTGGTTGTGATTGAATATTTGCAATTGGTACAGCCTCAGAGGCGATGAAGTTGTCTCTGCAGAACTACTCTGTGTATATGTGCTCAAGGTTTCTTCATTATCTTTCACCCTATAAATAGACACATGCATATATATATCATTTTTGGTGATTTACATAATTATCTTTTTGTCCATGAGTATATTGTTGTAGTACTTTCGTATATGTATCTTATACCAGTTCATCAGTTCTGCAGCCTACGGATAGAATGGATTTACCAATATTGCAGAATTATATCTTGTACTTGTAGTCAACGATGTTCCTGTATTGTACATCTATGAGTACCGAAAAATTTGAATTTGTTAATCTTTGTCATCATAACAAACTAAATAAAAGAAATTAAGAATTTTCCACCACCTATACATACTATTTAGTTGCACTCAACTTCTATAGCTTGTTTTAAACTTAATCACATAGAGAGCTGTAGTGTTATTGAGAAGTGAGAACTAAATGTTTTTCTTTGTGTTAGATAAGCTATCTTGGTATTTAGTTGTACTCTAAACCTACAGTTTTTTTCCAACATACCTATTATCAATTTGTTTGACTCATAGACAAGTTTTATTAGTTTTGACAGAGTATCCACAATATCTTATATGTGACTACATTGTCAAACCAAGAACTTAGAAAACTACTTAAGAGTCTTCGATTTCCATCTGCGCCATCATGCCAAATGTCTAAGTGAACTATTGAAACATGCTATAGGAAACAAAGAAAAGTAACCGGTGTCATTAGTTATGAGGGGCATTGGGAGCCTTTACAAGTGGAATCGATATCAGTTATATGGATCTTTGAGTAACAATGAATCTTTTGAAATTAATGGAGTAGAAGAAGATGCGCTAAACTGTATGAGTTTGACGAAAGAAGGAGAAGTTTCTTAAATTGAATAAGAGTGGACTGAATATGTAAAATGCTAATCCTGACTTTAGAAGGGAGAAGGAAAATTTTCAGAAGCTAGGGAGAGATATCTAAAATTTATACATACCGAGTCTTCAATAACTTAAACATATTCAATGGCACATGTCAAGGCGACCCGAGGGATGGAGAACATTGTCAACAACATTTCGAAGTTCATGTGGAAAGGAACAGCTCATATACCAAATCAACAAGGAAGCAGAAATATACCTGGGTTGCTGCCATGAAGGAGTGGGCCACACAGAACCATCGCAGACACGGGGGGAAGGGGAACAAAATTCCAGCTGACAAAATCACAAAAGATCTATTGAATGGAGAATTGACTTTTTGCGGAGATGTTAAGTCAGAAGAATTGGTCATACCACAAAACATGACATCTTGAGTTATTTTCCCATGTGTGAGATCCTTGTAAAATAAATTTTGCTGGACGACAGCTAATAGACAGTGGCGGATCTATGATCTCTAAAGAACAGATCCACCACTACCAAACATATATTTTTCCTCTAGCTTATGGTGGAGAATGAAGGTATTTAACAGCAATAAAGGTATTAGAAGTTATTGTCATGCATGGTCCCTTTGTCATTCCAACAGAAAAGTTAGAAAGTTAATTATGCAGGTCTTCAAACAGAGGGGTAAAGTCAAATTGGACAAGAAATTACTTATCTAAGTATGATTCTGCAATCCAATAAGCAAAAACTTGCAGGAAATTGATCTTAAATCTTGTAAAAAGAAACTTGAGTCGCATTTGAAATTCAATTTTGAGATCTGGGTTTTTTTTGAAGAGTACACTACCAACTGTTAGTTGCGTCACCTCCACCAAAGCAGATGCCGTAGTCGTCCTCGCTGTGCCCCGAGCTCCGGAATAAGAATAATAGGCCTCTTCCTGCAGCTGCTATTTTTCGCCATATCCATTTACTGTGCTAACAGAATGAATATAAAAATAGCTGCCGACTGCCGAAATTTGCGATGGACTAAGATAGAAGCGTAGAACAGGGCACCAGCGTCACCTATTAGTCTGATCAACAACTAAGCTTTTTTTATAATATAGGTCAACTCTATAACATTTGTTTTAGCCAAAACTAAATGTGTAAGAAAATTTGTATGTTTGTTAATTTATTAAATTAGTGTCATTATAAATCCTTTCTTTTATTGCGCTAGAGTAGCCTTTTGAAGTGGTCATCAAATTGAACTTTGCTACATCGTTTAGTAATAACAACTTTTCATCAGTTCTCCATATATTTTTCAGGATCTCCTAAAATGCCTAGAAATCTTTCACAGTTGACAACAGCTCCACTAGAATCTCACCATTCCCTCTATATAAACAGTTACAGACTCTTCACCTCAGTCACAAGTGAACCAAAACTGATTAAAGAAAACTTGCTAATTTATTACGAGTTAAAATATGGAAAAAAGAAAGAGTCTGCTGCTATTAGTGCTGGTACTTTTCTCTGCACTAGTGGCCTCTGTTGGCGGGCATTGGAGAGAAAGAGATGAGGAAGAAAGTGAGCAAAGAACTCAAGGAGAAAAATGGTTTTTGCTGCGTCACTTACATGATGTAGTGAAAACTGATGCTGGGGTCATGAAATTGGTGAATGGTGGATATCGTAGAGGAACATCTTTCCACAGTCCAATGCATATTGGTTTCATCTCTATGGAACCCAATAGCCTCTTCATCCCTCAGTACCTTGATTCTAATCTTCTCCTCTTTGTTCACCATGGTAAACTTAATTTTTTGGCTTTACCTTCGACAGTGTTTTAGACTTTTTACGCTATCAGATCACATAAAAGATAACTACATGTAATTTAAAATAAATAAAAGTGCCCAAAAAATAAGTCTGCTACAATATGTTAAAATAACATTGATTTTTTAAAAAAGAATGTCAGTGTCTTTAGGTTAAATCCTTTTCATAATAAGCCAGAATGTTCATTTTCTATGAAATGAATACAGGGGAAGCAAGAGTTGGACACATCTACGGGGATGAATTAGCAGAAAGGGGTTTGAAGCCCGGAGATGTGTACACAATTCCTGCTGGATCAGCTTTCTATTTGGAGAATAGAGTTGAAAACCAGAGACTTCACATTATTTGCAGTATTGATGTTACCTCTGAATCCATGGGATGGCATGCTTTTCAGGTACCGTAAGCCAATTTCTCAAAAATTGGTGATTTAATCCATTTCTTGTCTTACGTTTTATAGTCCTTTTTTCCAAAATTTTTTTAGTAACTCATGTAACTATTTTGCAGTCTTTCTTCATTGGTGGTGGAAATTATCCTACATCCATTCTTGATGGATTCGACCATACTACATTATCAACTGCTCTTAATGTAAGTATTCAAGTATATTACCTTTTCTTGCTACATTTGTCAGTGGAAAATAAAAAAAACTGAATCAAGATAAATATTGTATAACTCCAGGTATCGATAGCAGAATTAAGCACGTTCTTGGCAAGGCAATCTTCCGGACCGATCGTGCATTTATCTCGTTCTCATCACACACACACTTGGTCCAAATTCTTGGCCCAAGAACCCCACAAGAGACTAGCTCACTTGAAGAGGATTGTGAATTTTGAGGAAGAAACTACCCCAAAGGAAGAGGAATACACATGGTCATTGAGAAAATTTCTATTTACTTTGTTAAACAGGGAAGATGTTGTCGAGAGAGTGAATCATAAAGCTCCATCAGCGTATAATCTCTACAACAGGAAAGCCGATTTCAAGAACGACTATGGATGGAGCAAGAAGTTGGATGAGTCTAATTATTCCCCTCTAAAGATATCTGGAAATGGCGTTTATCTTGTCAATTTATCTCCGGTAAGGACCCTCTCTTTATTCAAGGTCATCATACATGAAAATATGTATTATAAAAATTCGGAAATTACAGTCACGGAATTAAGCATGGTGGTGCAGTGATCCTACGCAGTCAATGGCTTAAAAATCGTAAATTTGCCTAAGGCAGGTGGTGAACTTTGATTAAGAAAAATCTCAAATCTCCTATTGTGACAGCAAATCTTAGTTGACATGGTCCAAAATGTATCGTAATAGTGTGTTTTTTTTTCTTTGTTACATGTGTTTATCTAAGTTTGTTGGTTAATGTAGGGATCCATGATGGCACCTCATGTTAATCCAACGGCAATAGAGTATGGAATAGTGTTGAAAGGGACAGGCAGAGTCCAAATTGTGTATCCAAATGGGACTTTAGCCATGAACGCTAAAGTACGAGAAGGGGACGTTTTTTGGGTGCCGAGGTACTTCCCCTTCTGCCAAATTGCTTCAACAAATGGCCCGTTTGAGTTCTTTGGTTTCACGACATCAGCAAGGAGAAACCATCAGTAGTTCTTGGTGGGTAAGAACTCATTGATGCAGAGCTTGAGAGGGCCAGAATTTGCAGCTGCATTTGGTATAAGTGAGAAGAGGCTTAAGAGGATTGCCAATGCTCAAAGTGAACAAGTCATCTTGCCATCATCGTCACCGGCTTCTCTGCATGACAAGGCAACAGAGCCAGAGAGGAAGAAGATGGTCAAGTTTGAAAGGATGATAGGGAGCTTTAGCAACAACATGATCATGGGTTTTGATTAGTTTAGTTTAGTTGAAATGCTATCTAGTTGGGCTAGTCAAGTTTTGGCATGAAAGTTAGGAGGCAATCTTAGAACTATTTTGTTCTTTTTTGGTCTGTTTTTTCTTTCTTTTTGGATTTTGTTTTCTTGGTCCTCTTGGACACAAGAGGCCATGTCCTCTTTGAGTTTTGAATAAGACGGATTTGTTTTCGCACGTTCCATTGATGGCTCAAACTGCATTAAGAAACTTTAGAGTTTCACTTGGAATATACAATAATCACTCTCGAAATGTACATAAACTCCCAAAACCTAGATTATCGTAAGTCACGAACTACAGAAACAAAACAGTATTTCTATACTCTAGAGTATAACAAAAGGAAATAAAAGAAGTGTTTGACATGGGGAAGAGTAGATAGGGACTCCGAGGTATGCGGACGCGGCAGATATACCTTGAAGCCTCTACAGTTACCTCGCCTCACTGATAATGCGGCTGATAAGCGGTACCTAGATCTGCACACGAAAAACATGTGCAGGAAAGGGCATGAGTACACCACAACGGTACCCAGTAAGTGCCAAGCCTAACCTCAGTCGAGTAGTAACGAGATCAAGTCAAGACCTACTAGATTATATATAATAAAATAAGACAGAATGAAATATCGCAGTAAGAATAAATACTGAAATTTAACAAGAATGTAATCATGGAAAAACAACACCTCAGAACATAGAGATAACAATAGGGGATCTCCCAAGACACTGTCCCGTAGTCCCAAACTTAAATGTGCTGGGGGATCTCTGGAATACCGTTTCGTAGTCCCAAAGTAAATATGCAAAACAGAGGGATCTCTCGGAATACCGTTCCGTAGTCCCAAAGTAAATATGCAGCTCAACAAACAAAAAGAACAGTTAAAGCAAGAAAACCTACAATTTAGACTAAGTTCGAGTTAAGGAAAACCAGGAATTTCACTTAACATGCTGCAGAGAATTTAGATAGGCAGTTAAGGCATGTAACCTCGTCCAAATCCGAGCTCTCAAACTCAAGTTTAAAACAAATGGCCAAGCCCTCATTTTTGAAAAGTTTAATACTGCCCAGTGATTCCTTCTTCGCGAACGCGGAAGGCCCCTCGCATTCGCAAAGCACAACTCGCCTTGGCCCAGAAATTCTTCATCCCGAACGAGATGACCCTGTCGCGAACGTGAAGACAACTAAGCTCAACCCTATGCGGAACGCGAAACCGACCTCACGATCGCGTAGGAAAAGGCCTGGGGACCCAGCAACCAAACTCTTCTACGCGAACGCGGGACCCTCTTCGCGAACGTGTAAGCATATGACATTAGAGCTTCGCGAATGCGGGACCAACATCGTGAATGCGAAGCATTAAATTTCTACCTGCCTCAGATGCTCTTCACGAATGTGGAACACCCCTCGCGAACGCGAAGAAGAGAACTTGTGCAACAAAGACCAAAAAAATCTGCCACTTCCCTAAGTCCAAAAATGATCCGTTAAGCACCCGAAACTCATCGAGGCCCCCGGGACCTCAACCAAACATACCAACCAGTCCTAAAACACCATACGAACTAATTCGAGCCCTCAAATCACTTCAAACAGTGCTAAAATCACAAATCACCCTCCGATTCAAACTTACAGAACTTGAAACTTGAAATTTCTACAACTGATGCCGAAACCTATCAAACCACGTACGATTGACCCCAAATTTCGCACACAAGTCATATTGAACCTTACGGACCTACATCAACTTCCGGAATTGGATTCCCACCCTGATATCAAGAATTTCACTACCGATCAAAATCTTCGAAAATTCAACTTTCACTATTTCAAGCCTAAATAAGCTACAGACCTCCAAAATACAATTTGGAGCTCTAACCCTAAAATCACCCAACAGAGCTAACGGAATCGACGAAACTCCATTCCGGAGTCGTCTTCATAGATTTCTGACTATGGTCCAAATTCTAAGACTTAAATCTCCCTTTAAGGACTAAGTGTCCCAAAACACTCCAAGAACCAAAATCAAACATGCTGGTAAGTCACAATAGCGAAAATAGATACGGGGGAAGCAGTTAATAGGGGATCGGGAGCTATAACTCTCAAAATGACCGGCAGGGTCGTTACATCCTCCCCTTCTTAAAACAATCGTTCGTCCTCAAATGAGCATAGAGACATAACGGAAGTGCTGAACAGATGAGGATAACGACTGTGCATATCATGCTCGGTATCCCAAGTCGCCTCCTCGACCGGCTGACCCCGCCAGTGGACCTTGACTGATGCAATGCTCATTGACCTCAGCTTTCGAACCTGCCTGCCAAAATAGCCACTGGCTCATCAACATAAGATAGATCCTTGTCCAACTGGACTCACAGATATAAACTCGAGCCAGCTGCTCGGAAGAATAGGTAGTCATCACAAGAAGGAAATAAACTTACTTGGTCAGCCTATCCACAATCACCCAAACTGCATCAAACTTCCGGTGAGTCTGTTGGAGTCCAACAACCAAATCCATAGTGATCTGCTCCCACTTCCACTATGGAATCTCTAACTTTTGAAGCAATCCACTTGGCCGCTGATGCTTATACTTCACCTGCTGGCAATTTAGACACCGGGCCATATATTCTACTATGTCCTTCTTCATTCTACACCACTAATAATGCCGCCTCAAGTCCCGATACATCTTCATTGCACCCAAACGAATGGAGTACCGCGAGCTATAAGCCTCTTCAAGAATCAACTTGCGCAATCCGTCTACATTGGGGACACATAGCCTGTCATGCATCCTCAACGCACCATCGTCCCTAATAGTGACCTGCTTAACATCGCCGTTCTGAACCGTGTCCATAAAGACAAGTAGGTAAGGGTCATCATACTGATGCTCCCTGATACGATCATAAAGTGAAAACCGAGAGACCACACAAGCCAACCCTCGCCTCGGCTCAGTAACAACCAATCTCACAAACTTGCTAGCTAAGGCCTGAACATCCAATGCCATGGGCCTCTCTGCTGCTGGTAGATATGATAAACTCCCCAAACTCTCTTCCCGGCGAGTCAATGAATCGGCCACTACAATGGCCTTCCCAGAGTGGTACAGAATGGTGATATCATAATCCTTATGCAGCTCTAACCACCTCCTCTAATGCAAGTTAAGATCCTTCTGCTTGAACAGATACTGCAAACTCCTGTGATTTAGATCTCACAAGGGACACCGTACAAATAATGCCTCCAAATCTTCAAGGCATGAACAATAGCAACTAACTCGAGGTCGTGGAAAGATAGTTCTTTTCATGTACCTTCAACTGTATGGACGCGTAGGCTATCACCCTACGGTCCTGCATCAACACCGCGCCGAGGCCAACTCGCGACGCATCACAATAAACTGTATAAAACCTCGAACCTGAAGGCAATACCATATTAGGGTTGTAGGAGCATAAACTGAAACATTCTGGGGCTACAAAGATAGTTATTAAATCGTTATCTACTTTTGTCCTTGTAATTGACATAGACCCCAGGAATTCCTGAGCCCAAGAGTTAAGAATATTTTATTTTTCCTTTTAAAACTTTTAGAGTTATAAAATATTTCTTTTTGAATTTTCCAGTTGTTGATTGGAAGTTGGAAACTACTAGACATAAGGAAGCAGGGGATAAATGTGGGGAACAAAAAATTCTAGGAGGGATTATTTGTCTGTGCTCTAATCCTCTGAGCTACAGGCCCCACCCCGTCTCCATCGCTTTTGCTTTCTTTTCCTCTGGCTACTATCCACGATTGAAAATAAATTGATAGTACTTTCTTAGGCTTTTGAAAGCTCTCCACCCACTCCTCCGTCCACCTGAACGGAGCACCCTTCTGGGTAAGCCTGGTCATAAGTGCTGTAATAGATGAAAATCCCTCAACAAATTGATGGTAATACCCTGCCAAACCAAGGGAGCTCCGGATATTTGTAGCTGAGGACGGTTTGGGCCAACTCTGCACTGCTTCCACTTTCTTCGGATCCACCTTGATTCTTCACTCTACACCATGTAACCCAAAATGCCACGGAATCCAAGCAGAACTCACATTTTGAGAACTTTGCATATAATTTCTTCTCTCTCAAGGTCTGAAGCACAGTCCTCAGGTGTTGCTCATGATCTTCCCGACTCCGGGAGTACACCAGAATATCGTCAATAAACACAATGATGAAAGTATGAAGATAAGGCCGAAATACATTGTGCATCAAATGCATAAATGATGATGGGGCGTTGGTCAGCCCAAATGACATCACAAGGAACTCGTAATGACCATACCGAGTCCTAAAAACAGTCTTTAGGATATCTGGCTCTCGAATCTTCAACTGATGATAACTTGAACGCATATCAATCTTGAAAAACACTCGGGCACTCTGTAATTGATCAAATAGGTCATCAATACGAGGAAAAGGATACCTGATCTTCACTATGACTTTGTTCAACTAGTGATAATCAATGCACATACGCATAGAACCATCTTTTTTCTTCACACGAGAGGAACACCCCAAGGTGACACACTGGGCCGAATAAAGCCCTTATCAAGCAATTCCTGTAACTGTTCCTTCAACTCCTTCAAATCAGGATGGGCCATACAATAAGGAGGAATAGTGATGGGCTGAGTGCTCGACAACAAATCAATGCAAAATCAATATCTCGGTCGGGGGGCATGCCCAAAAGATAAGGTGGAAACATATCAGGGAAATCCCTCACTACTAGAACTGACTCAGCTGTAGGGGTATCAATGCTGATATCTCTCACATAGGCTAGATACGCATCACACCCCTTCTCAACCATTCGTTGAGCTTTATGAAATGAAAATAACTTTGCTGGGAGTGTAATCTAAGGTACCCCTCCACTCTAATTGCGGTAACCCTAGCATAGCCAACATCACGGTCTTTGCGTGACAATCAAGAATAGCATAATGGGGCGACAACCAGTCCATGCTCAAGATAACATCAAAATCTACAATGCTGAGCAATAATAAATCGGCTATGGTCTCAAAACCACTAAGAGCAATCAAACACGACCGATGCACAAGGTCCAAAACAAGAGAATCTCCCACAGGAGTAGACACATAAATAGAGGAACTCAAAGAATCCCAAGATACGCCGAAATGCGACGAAAAATAAGAGGACACATAGGAATAAGTGAATCCTGGATCAAATAGAACCGATATATCTTTATGACAGACCGGAACAATACCCGTAGT